ATACTTGAGTTTTGAAAATAGGAGAGCCTGTATAAAATTATACGAGATTGGATAAAAATATATGAGAATATTTTATGTAGGCACTACAAAATACCCAAATACCCACTTCTACCACGTAAAAGCCCCCCTCCAGCATAGCCATCATAGCCCACCATTAATCTATTTTCAAAAGGCGCCGCCAATCTAGAGATTTTCCCACGGTATCGAAAAACTTCCTAGGCTCAAGTGCCCCCAGCTATCAGACTAGCAGATTCACAAGCAAAATATTTATTATTGCAATAAAATTAATGCACCTGTTTATGACCAATACTCACCTCACAGCTATCAGAGCAATACCCACCTCCACTACGTTAAAAAGCTTTTACTCTGAAGCGGTACCTCTTTCCATATCCCTTCACTTTCTTGGAAACTAAAGAATATTTCAAAAATTCCTGCATTTGTATTCGCCAATAGTGTTCTAAACTCCATTGCAATAATAACATTTGGCTTGTGAATCTGGTGGACCACTTACGTAGTAGAGGTGGGTATTGGTCTGAAATTTTGGGGATTTAACCCGGGCCAACCCCAAAATTGACGAATTCGAATACAAATGCAAGAATTGGTTAAATATTCTTTAGTTTTCAAGAAAGTGAAGGGATATAATAAAGTGCCATCTCAGGGTAAGAGCTTTTTGAAAATAGATTAATGAAGGGGTTTACGGAAGAGGGTTTACAGTGCAGGTGGGTAAAAAGGGCCTCCTCAGGGTAGGAGCTTCACGGAAGGTGGTATAGTGGAGGTGGGTAAAGTTCACCTTACGAGTCTAACACTACGACGTCTGAAGAGCAAGGGGACATAACGCCATTCATTTCGAGCTTTATGCTGCTTGTCATAGGCGAGCGTGCAACGTTTTTGAATATTACTTTTTCCTTATAAATGTAGGTGTATAATATAAAATATTAAGGTATTTCTTATTGGAAGTCAAATAGGCAATACTGCAATTTTTTTATCCGCATTATTTCCATAGTGCTAGACTCGTAAGGCGAACTTTAGTGGTATAATGACTGTGCTGGAGGGGAGTTTTTACGTAGTAGAGGTGGGTATTGGTCTGATAGCCGGGGGCACTTGAGCCTGGGAAGTTTTTCGATACCGTGGGAAAATCTCTAGATCGGCGGCGCTTTTGATCTGAAATTTTGGGGATTTGACCCGGACCAACCCCAAAATTGACGAATTCGAATACAAATGGAAAAATGGATTTACTGTGCTGATTTTACTGTCATTTGCCGTTCCAATTTCAACAGGGTACTCTTGTGGTCATTCAGTACTGAATCGACTGAATCCAGTGTACCTACTGAAAATAATATCGGAACGGCGTCCAGTAAATTCAGTACTGACAGAGTTAATATCGGAACATAACCTATATAAGGCTATGGTCCAAATATAACCAAACGTTAGCCATTAGCTCTGTTCCAACAGACATCAGAACCGTTCCAGAACCAATAATTTCCAGTTGCCCACCTATTTTTCAATAAGTTGAACGTTTTTCCTAATTGACAAATGGATTGATCGACTGGAAATTACCGTTCTAGAAAGGTTTTCATGTCTCCTGGAACAGAGTTGAAGTAACCGAATCGGCCAACAGATGTTTACTGAAAATTCCGGTTACTTTGGGGAACGCAAATATAGAAATAAAACATAATTGACAGAAGTTACAGATAAAACCTTGATAAAACCAACAGAATCGACATCCAACGGCGTATACAAGGGGGGGTAATGGGGGTAATTACCCCCCCCCCCCCCCCAAGATCGTTACGATGGACGAAAAAAATGTACCCTACACCTTACAAATAAATCTATTTTTTATATTTTTACTTTTCAGCAACTGGCCTTAACTTGTTTTCTAGTTTGCACAGTGTCCGCACTGCCCGCATGCCATTTATAGCGAATTCTATTCAAAGGGATAGTGCACACTGAGTGTATTCATATCTTTCTCTACTAGCTTGCATAAGAAAGAGATAAATAAATTTTTTGTATTAATCCTACCAATAGAATTCGCTATGCCTATAATTGAAAAGTTTTAGGCGATTCTCATAGCGAATTCCATTGGTAAAATCAGTGCGAAAGAGTGTATTTTTATCTCTTTCTTATATAAGCTGGTAGAATAAGATACGAATACACTCGGTGTGCACTAACCTTTATTCCAATGGAATTCGCTATCAGAGTTCGGTTTCGTTATTTCTTGGTAGTACAGAACATATTTACCTAACAAGTGCGAAAAATGAATTTTTCCGCACGAGTCTGTCGTTCACCCAAAGACGCGTAGCGGAATTCGGTGAAGCAGCCAAGTTCGGAAGACAGATTTTTCGCATGTGTTAGGTACAATAGGTTTTTTACAGACGTGCGGAAATAAGTAGGTACATATACCCAAGGATGATACACACTACTATTACTACAGGATGGCTTATCCTCATAAGGCCTGTTTGTAAAAAATCCCCCTCTACCCCCCTTAGCCAAACAACCAGTTGTGACGTAAGCAGCATGGCGTTTCTCGCCTTGACGTAGGCTGTTTAAACAGCTGAAAACTTAGTTATGACGTCGACAATGGTTGAAAACAGTTGAAAACCAATATGGCGGCGATTACCAAAAACGAGAAAGAGTTGTTTCAGAATATTAATTAATGTAGTGAAACCAAGTTTTGCATAAAGGAAAAGCCCGCGGAATCATAACCTGTGGTACAAACACCCTACGTGAAGACGAGAAACGACACGCTGTCTACGTCATCACTGATGATATTTTGGCATGGCAGCGGCGGCTTCAGATTGAACTACACGGGCCTTATGAGGATAGACTATCCTATAGTAGTAGTGTGTAGTATCCTTGCAGGAAACTGAGGTACAAAAGTAACCTCTTTTCCAGGAACCAGTAATTAGTAATTCGATTACTTTCGGAACGCTTTTCTGTAGTTGCCACATTTTTATTTTTCGTTGAGGAATTATGATCAGGAGCATTAACCCTCAGATTTGACTGGATTTATGCCCGATTGCACCATCTCTCTTAACTGAGGCTTAACGATAACTATCCCTTAAATTGACAGTTTTGCATGGGAAAATGTCACTTTAAGGAATAGTTATCTCTAAGCCTCGGTTAAGAGAGACGGTGCAATCGGGCATTACGATTTAACCCATTTCCCAAAATCCCAAAAAAAATACTTGCTTCTTGATGTTACAGATTGGTTACCAAGATCGTGTGTCAAAATCGTGTAATTGTGAAAAATGAAAGCGTGTAAAAACGTGTAATTTTACCAGCATATCGTTCAATTTCACAAATTCAGATTGACAACACTGCCTTGCATATACCTACATAATTTGTAGTCATTTATTGATTTTTTTTTGACAGCCATGCGGAAAAGATTTAGATTTTTCCGCACCGATATCCGTGCGGAAAAAAATTCGCCGCACCGTGCGAGAAAATCGATTTTCCGCACTGTTTAATTGTCCTCACTCTCGTAGAAAATTTTTTTTTTGAAGGCTCAAAGTAAACGTTTTTGGGCGTGGCATCCGGGAAAAAATGGGCTGATTACCCCCCCCAGAAGCATGGGCTGGATACGCCGGTGTCGACATCCGATGGCCGGTAACTACTTTGACATTTGGTTAACCAGATTTCAGGAACCCGAGGTACAAAATTAACCAGTTTTCCAGGAACTAGAGAGGATTATCAGTTTTTAAGTCTATGCTCGTGGGTGCTCGAGCCCCCGAGCACCCACGTAGTCAGCGCTTCTGCACATGTATATAATATATGGTTTCTTTTTTTTTTTTAATGAAAATATATGAGAAATAGTCTCATATTAAACATGCTAATATGAGATATGAGAAATAGTTAAAATATATGAGTCTCATATTAAAAATAGGAGGTCTGGCAACCCTATAGGTATATTGCCAATATTTCTGCAGTGCAAATGCAAGTATGATCTAAGCATTTCCTCATGATTCGTCTATTCCTGATCCTATTATATATCCCTATTCCACATTTTCATGTTGTTCAAGGGAAGCATCCGAGTAAAGCCTAGTAGTACTCATAACTGCGAAATTCGAGCATTTTTTTGACATTGCTTCGTTAAATTGACGTTTGATACACGCATAAAACGTCAAATTGTCAAAAAAATGCGAATTTCGCAGTTATGAGTACTAGACTTAAGGGCGGGTATTATAAATACCGCATAACGTAATTTACCCAGCATTTACGTTAAGCGCTATTTCGAATAACGCCTAAAAATAACGCCGTGGAATATAGGTTATGTTATGTTTATTGTTTATTTTATTATTTTTGTTGTGTTCAAGTGAATATGGTTATTCAAAAAATAGTAAAAAAGGAAATCCTCTGTCCCTGACCATAAACAACAGACAACACAAATCAAATCACAACAAGGTACAAGTTAGGCTACGGTTATAAAATAACGGATGCGAACAGGTAAATTTTAACTTAAACTGTTTTCTGATAATTCCAATTTGAAAGTTTGATACCGCTTTACTTTAAAAAATAACTCCTGACGTTATTACCGTCCATACGCGCTATCTGGTTCACTGATATTTCTCTAATATCAATAGGGCAATCCAAACAAAATGGTGGTCAATGCATGGCCAATGCCAAAAAATTGGCGCCATAAATTTAATTCAAGCAATCGTGACATTTTACATCAAAAAACTGTTTTTTGTGTATTTTGTGGTGCTTTTAGATGATTTTCTAGTGTTTGAGAGGATAATTTTCGTATTCTAAGATGGAAAGTTTTTAGTTTAAGAAATTATTAGTAGAAAAAAGGCATTGGCCTCCATTTTGAATTCCATTTTGACAAGTCGTTGGATTGCCCTATTATAGGACTTATATTTTTACGCATTTTTATTTACTAATCTAAACGCGGCTTAAGGCTGATTGTTCAAATCATTGAGAGATGGCGCCACACATCACCAACCTCCCAAAAAAATATTTGTCTCTTTTTAAGCACACATAATAAAAAGAAACAACAATACAAAAATGTCACTTTATAGGGTGACATTTCTTTGCACATAAAACGTCAATTTATATAAAAAAAAATAATAACAAAGTTTTGTTTGTGAAATTGTGAGTGATTTCAATTTGTGAAGAAGCCTTTTATTTTTATCCCAAAATTATTATTATTATGACAATTCCAACGTTTATTTAATCGAAAACTAAACAGTGAAGAAATGAACGGTTTCAGTACCGGCGAAGAAGACTCGAGAGGCCCCACCGAACAAATTTGCTGTCTCATAGACAACAGCGAACGGTGCTCCAAAGTGGCCGGAAACGCTTCGTACAGCAAACGAATCCAGAAAACCGTCACCCAAAGGAAACTCAACCTTTTACTAGACAACAACGTAAGAATTTCTCAATTTAGAATTCACTCTATTAATACAATTATTAGGCCCATCACTTTTACATTTGCGACTTTCACAAGATGATTATCCAGTGTGCCAGGACAAAACGCAGGAGAAAAGATTCAGAAGAGGACAGTAATGAAACTGACACTGATGTGCCAGAGGTTGACTTGTACCACCTTCAAGTTAATACTTTGAGGAGGTACAAGAGGCATTATAAAGTACCTACCAGGCCTGGACTGAACAAGGCACAATTGGCTGATGTACGTATTAAATTCTGGTTGAATTCTATTGTATTGTCTAGTCACAATCTGTCGTCCAAAGGTACAGGTAAAATTTATCACCTTTCAATGCTAATTGATAGGGAAAGGTGATAAATTTACCTGTACCTTTGGATGAGAGATTGTGAATAGGATATATTTTACTTATATTGTAGAATATCATGAAGCATTTCAAGACAATACCGGTTAAGGAAAAAGATGTTTTGACCTATTTTATTTATACCATCAAGACTAATGGTAATAAGTTGGACCAGAAAAATGGTATTAATACTAATGATAATATGTAGGGCTATAGGGGAGGAAATAAAGCTTTTTTTGTTTAATATTGTACTTATATAAGTGTATTTTTAATTATTTAATTAATAATTTTTATAGTTAAGTGTAATAATAAACAATTATTATATTGATTGTTTCTTTTTCTTCTTTTTTGGTGAATTATTTTTGGGTGTATTTAATATAATAACGTCCTCTTCTTCACTCTCAGTGTCACCAATAATAACAGGCTCAGCTGCAATTGAAATTATTAATAAAAAAAAAATTAGTTCCTTATGATGTTTAACCTTTGGGAGGTTCAATGGCAACAACGTCGTCAGAAGTTTCATCATCATCGCTTTCTACAACATCCCACTCTTTTGGAATTAGTTCAGCAATTTCTTCCTTCTTTGAAATTTTTATTGATTCTTCTTCTTCTTGATCTGTTTCAGTTTTTGTTGGCTTCTTTTTCTTTTTACCTTTGGCTGTGGACCAGTGGTCCAAGCACAAGCTTAGTTCTGATAAAGGTAAATCGATTGGTTGTAAATCGAATTTGTGGAAACCTGTGTCTTTCAGTAAAAGCCTAAAAAATGTGAAGGAAAAATTGTGAAACTTTCAGGAGGAAAATTAGAAGCTCATCATACTAAAATTTCAAACTTTTCCAGTGGAAAATAACAGAATGAGAAATTAATGAAAATCAACTTGTAAAATCTTAAATTACATTTGAATTTTTTTCTGGATAATTATGAAACTTTCAGTTATAATAAATAAATATTCATACAAAATCGATAGAATTATGTACAAGGTGTTTTTTTGTATATTGACACACCACCTACCCTACAGCATTTACAGGTAGATGAAAGGTGTAAGTTTTTTTCAAATGGAATACGTTATATTTGGTTCTATATTCTTGAAGAACACACTTTCCCGATTCCAAAACTATATAGTTTGTCTATATATGGTTGAGCCGTCTCCAATATATTTGATTCTAAAAATTTAAAAAATACTATCAAAGAAACCAAGTACCTACTTCAAATTTTACCTGCAGCTTTCACCTGTACAAATAGAATGGTAAGATAGTATTTTTACAATTTTTGGAGCCAAATTATATGAGAGACTGTTCAATCAAATATAGACAAACTATATATTTTTGGAATCAGGGATTTGTGCTCTTCAAGAATATAGAATGAAATATAAGGTATCCCATTTGAAAAAAGCTGGAAGCATGCAAAATTTCACATTTCTGACATTCAAATTTTGTTTCTGACTATAGTTTCTAAAAATTCAGCCAAAACTGTACAACTTTTGTATTTACACCTTTCTTCTACCTGTGAAGGTAAAGGCTGTAGGTGGGGTGTAAATATATAAAAAAACACCCTGTACAAATAAGTGGATTATTGCGAAACTTATGGGTGGACCTCTGCGGGACGAGCGCAGCGAGTTCCGCAGTCATCTACTCACCAATATATTGTTGAACTGTTCGAATAAGACACTCACCTGAAACGTGTACTATTTAAACTAATAATCATAACTCACATTTGAGTGAGTTAGGTTAGTATCGTACTTGAAAAACATATTGATAAATAGATGGCTGGGTCCACCCCGAGGGGATAACAACTGGTGACAATACATGTACAGGGTGTCCCAAATTCGAGAGTGACCATTGAGATATCGGAAACTATAAGAGATACGAGGTCGGTTAAATTATGGCAAAGTTGCGCATTTTTATGACCAATAAAATGCCGTTTTGAAATTTGAAAAATTCCGAATACTTCCGAAGATATTCGGAAAAAACCAACATTTTGAAAAATCATTTTTATTTTTTCCTGAGTCTATTTGAAGAGCAATTTTACAATAAATATCACTTCATCATTGTCACTTTTTCTTCTTTACAAGATGTAGCCAGTATTGCCACAGGTGGCCCCATATGGCCAGAGCTGGCCCTTTTTAAGACGGAGTGGCCCGTTGGCCACTCTTTTTCGAATCTGGCCCGTTTCTCCATAACAAGTCAAATCATTATTTTTTGATGTAAAATAAACGTTTTTGGGCGTGGCAGCCGAAAAAAATTTCTACCTCCGGCGGCGCCTGCGGCAGGCTTTCTCTCTTCTTTTTGATTTGAAAACGGTTTGCCGAAATTCTGAAATCTGGCCCCTTTTAAAAACATAGTCTGGCACGAAACTATCAGAGGCTGTGGCAACACTGGATGTAGCTACCAAATTTCAGATTCGACGTTTTGTCTTTGGGCCACCATCATCAACTTCAGTTTTTTAAATACAGAACCCTATTTTCTATTTCAGATTTTAAGTGATTCTGATGTCCCAAAACTAATGAGGTATTGCACTTATTCGAAAAAGGACCCCGCAATATTTAAATGGAAATTGGTTACCCGTGATATTTGGATGAAATTTAAATATGTTATTGGGGATGCCGTAAGCAACATTTTTCACCATGGGCACAACCCTGCATGTATGACAGGTGAGGCGTGGTTAGCTGTCAAATATTGGAATCTTATATCCGAAAGTAGAGTAACTATAGCAGATTTTGATGAACCAAAAATCTATTTCTACTAAGTCGACCAAGTTAAGTCGAAAAATGTCAACCATTTTAACACCTGTCAAGACCCTACTAAACGGCAACACTCATCTTTTCCAGTTTTCACTATTTTATATTGTCATTTGACATTTTTAACTATATGTAAATTCTAAATTCATAAATTGAAAAAAAAAATGACAGAACTGTCAAAACAAAATCATTTTTTTAAGTAGAAAAAAATACTCTAATCTGATCCTTGCTTGTTTTAAGGTAGTTTATTGGTGATAAAACATTGAACAAAGTTCATGCACGTCATATTTTGACAGCTGTCATTTTTTTCAATTTTTCAATTTTTCAATTCAGAATTTACATATGAGTTAAAAATATTGAAAACTGGAAAAGATGAGTGCTGCCGTTTGGCAGGGTTTTGACAGGTGCTAAAATGGTTGACATTTTTCGACTTAACTTGGTCGAAATAGTAGAAATAGATTTCTTGTTCATCAAAATCTGCCAGAGTTACTCTGCTTTTGGATATAAGATTCCAATATTTGACAGCTAACCACGCCTCACCTGTCATACATACAGGGTTGAGCCCATGGTAAAAAATGTTGCTTACGGCATCCCCAATAACATATTTAAATTTCATCCAAATCCAAAATAAAATTGCAAAAATCACGGAAATTTTGAAAAATCACGGGAAATACATTAATTATTGAAAAACTAAGAGGAAAATTAGAAAATTACAAAAAAATCGAATATTACAAAAGCAATGAAAATAAAAAAAATTGAAAAATACTGGAAATTCAAAAATTATGCAAAATTACAAAAATAATTGAAAAATTACATAAAATACGGAAACTACAAAAAAATAACAAAAATCATTAAAATTGCAAATATCATGAAAATTTGAAAAAAATTACAGCTTACAATTATTGAAAAATTAAAATGAGAATTGCAAAATTACGAAAAAAACCGGGAATGGAAATACTTATGTAATGTAAATTATTTTAAAAAATTACGGGAATTTCAAAAACTACGTGAAATTGCAAAAATCATTGGCAAATTACGGAAATTACGAAAAAATTACAAAAATCACGAGGATTTCAAAAATCACGGGAATTTCGAAAATATGTAGAACTGCGAAAATCATGGGTAAATTGCGAAAATTAAATTTGAAAAAAATTAGGAGAATTATAAAATTACGAAAAAAATCACGGGAACTTCAAAAATTATTAAAATTTCGAAAACATCGGAAAATAACGTATAACGGAAAAGTAACAAAAATTACGAGAATTGCAAAAATTACGGAAAATTTAAAAAGTTACGGAAACCACCATTATTAAGAACTAAAAAGCAGAATTATAAAATTTGAGTATTACAAAAGCAATGGAAATTATTGGCAATTTCAAATATTACGTAGAACTACAAAAGTCATTGATAAATTACGTAAATTACAGGAATTATAAAAATGAAAAATAACGAATATTACAAAAAATCACGGAAATTTCAAAAAATACGGGAATTACAATTATTGAAAAATTAGAATTATAAAATTACGAAAAAAAATTATGGAAATTTTAAAAATTATGTAAAATTACGAAAATTATTGGAAAATTACGTAATATGGAAAAATATTAACAAAAATCACAAAAATTTCAAAAAATCATGGAAATTACATTAATTATTAAAAAAATTGAGAGAAGAATTATAAAATTAGAAAAAAATCGAGTATTACGGAAAACAATGAAAATTATTGAAAAAAATTAAGCGAATTTCAAAAATTACGTAGAATTGCAAAAAATTATCGGAAATTACGTTTTACGAAAAAATAATAAAAATCACGAGAATTTCAAAAATAACGGAAATTTCAAAAACAAAAAAATTAGGATAATTAGAATAATTATAGGAATTGCAAAAATTACGGAAATTACGAAAACTTGACAAAAAAAAAAAATATCGGAAATAACACAAAAATTAAGGAATTTGTTAATTAACGAAAATTACGAGAATTGAAAAAATTGCAGAAATTACGAAAAATTATGGAAATTAGAAATTCTGGAAATAAATCATGGAAATTTATTAATAAATTGCAAAAATCGAAAAAACCTATGATGATTTTCAAAAAGTTAGAAAATAACAAAAATTACAAGAATCAGGAATTACAATTACAAAAATTATAAAGACAGGGAAATTATAAAATTTCAAAAAACGTCCAAGAAATTTAAAAAATTACGACAATTGAAAATTACGAAAACTATCAAAGTTACGAGAATTATAAAAAATTACAGGGATTACGAAAAAGTTACGGGAATTACGAGAATTACAAATCACAAAGGCTTTCGGGAAATGATTTTGAAAAATGCCCAGAAAAAATACGGAAATTATGGGAATTACCTACTAATTTTTGAAATATACAAAAACGTGGAATTATAAAAATAACGGAATTTTCTGAGAAACTAAGTACGGGAATTAAAAAATTACGAAAATTTGAAGAACAACAGGAATTAATAATAGTTATTTATATTAGAAATGCGTTTATGAACATGATTACAATAACGAGTGTGAAAGATTAGAACGATGAGGTCGTAGACCGAGTCCGAGTCGTTCTACTAATCACACGAGTTTTGTAGTCATGTTTAAACGCACGTGTGATGTACAACGTTTTATCTACAAAGCGAAAAATAGAAATGTTTTTTCAATTATTTTCGTTTAGTAGTTGTTGTCTACCTTCATTTTACCTTTACAGGTTTAACTTTGACATTTGTCAAATCACCAAAAATAGTTGTGTTATGAAGTCATTACCTAGTCTATAACACCACTAGTTGTGTTATGAGTCTCATGACATTACTCAAATACTAGAAAATGGTTATGTAAAAACGTCATAACCAAACGCTTGTAAATAAAAAAATTATAAGAATTATTTGAGAAATTACAGGAATTAAAAAATTTCTAAAGAAAAATTACGGAAATTACGAGTCTTCGAAAGTTACAAAATTTGCTATAATGAGCTCTTTATTTTCTTCTTTTTCTGTAAAATTTTCACAAATTTCTTGCCAGTTTCCCGGTTGTAAGAAGGTGAATTTTGCCTAAAAAAGTCAATTTCCCAGAATTTTTCCTGGAGTGATTTTTGACTGGAAAATTTTGAAATTTTTCTATAATGTGCTCCTCACTTTTCTTTTACTTCTGGAAACATTTCATAATTTTCCCTTTGCCAGATTTCTAGAAAAAAACTAAAATGTAAGAGGATGAGTTCTCCTTAATTTTGCTGAAAAGTAAGTTTTTCAAAATTTTTCCTGGATTAATTTTTTACTGAAAAATTTTGAAATTTTCGTAAAATGAGCTTCTCATTTTCCTCTTATTCCTGGAAAATTTTCAAAATTTTCTCTTTGCAAGTTTTCTAGAAAAAAATTAAAATGTAAGAGGTGAATTATTTTTAATTGCTTAAATAAGTCAATTTTTTAGAACATATTTGAAATTTCAGTCAACCCTTTGTCGTTTGTACATGATATTTAAGAACACCCTGTATAATACGCAGTTAATTAATTTATATATTTGGGACTCCAATGATTTTTTAAGAGCTGGTATTTCAGTGTCACCTTAAGATATAGAATAAACATAGACATTGACAACATTGTCTGACCCTGACCTTGTTCGATGACGTCATCCTAAATGTTAATATAAGATAAAAACCGTATATTTTAAGGTAAGTCTTGATTTTAACAATAATAATTGCGAACGTGTTCTATGAATTAATCAACGAGAAATACTTTTTGCGATGCAAAAAAATACATAAAATAATTTGGTTGCACTAATTTTTTATGTAAGTAAGTGTTAGGTAGTGCTATGGTGGGATGCCGAATAGGAGTGCTAATTTTTGCTTTAGGGGTGCTTGGCACCCCTAAGCATTCCCCTAGTTGCGCCTATGGTGATAAATTTACCTGCACCTGTGGACATCGGATTGTGAACAGAATATAATTATTCATACCACTTTTGAAAATGGTGAATTCACAATTCAACGATTAAATAAAAATACCTACCTAATAAAAAATTTTAGGAGTGTTTTTTGAACGACTTTTGGGTCGAAATTTGAGTTAGTTTGGGTTACTCAAAAAAAAATTTGGCACACTGGAGCTGGGTTGATACGCCACTGGTAGAATCGTTCACAAAATCAGTAGTAGGATAGTATTTTTACAATTTTTGGAGCCGAATATATGACAGACTGTTCAATCAAATATAGACAAACTATATATTTTTGGAATCGGGGTATTGTGCTCTTCAAGAATATAAAATGAAATATAGGGCATCCCATTTGAAAAAAGCTGAAAGCATGCAAAATTTCACGTTTCTGACATTCAAATTTTGTTTCTGACCATGGTTCCTAAAAATTCAGCCAAAACTGTACAACTTTTGTATTTACACCTTTCTGCTACCTGTAAAGGCAAAGGCTGTACCTACCTATTTAAAATCACCTTATTCTCCCAAATAGTTTCCCCATTCCCATATTTTTATGGGCCATTCTTTCAAAAAACCGTATCTTGCACAATGTGCTGCCAAAATTAACCCAATCTGGTTTACTTTAACTTAAACTGCCCCCCCCCCCATTTCAAAAGGTCTGTATCCGCCCCAGCTCAAAAAATAATAACGGAAAAATTTTGAAATTTCTGCAGTAGAGAAAGAAAGACTAGAAGCTCATCAGACAAAAATAAATTTCAAATTAACCCAGCAGAAAACAACCACTGGAAAAATTCCTAGAAATCAACTAAATAAGATATAAAATACATCATCTCACATTTTAATGGTTTTCTCAAAAACTGATGAGGGGAAAATTTTGAAAACTGTATTATTAACAAACAATTAATTATACTTACTTCTCACTGGTATCCTTTTCCACAGCACCCTTGATAACCTCAATAACACTGCCAGCCCTCTGAGCAGCCCTATGCGTAGTCTCCAAAACCCTTTCCGGAGTCAATTGCACCTTGCCCACCAAATGCAACCCACACAACTCCTTATGTCCATTTAAACCAACACTTAAAAAAGCATCTGCCACTCCCTCCTCCAACCAACTGGGATCAGCAACAATATAATCCCCTCCAGCAAAAATAGCATAAGAAATACAAACCGGATAATGATGAATAACTGTAGCAATAGGATCACGTTCTTTGAAGCTGTGAATTTTGTATTCAATACCGTCACAAGTGACGTCAGGACGTCTGAAGTGGGCAAGGGCTGATAGGGCTGCTATAGAAGCACAATCCAAAATGTTGCCTTCATTGTTTAGAAGATTAACATCCACTCTTACGGCCCAAACTCTTTCATTCATTTTTACACATAAGCTTTCCAAGTCTACAGCCTTGGAATCCTTAATGCACTTTTCCAAAAGTCTGTTTAACTGTGAAGCCAAATCCGATTGTTTGTTGGATTCAAAACTAGGATCCCCTATGGAGTTTAGTTCTAGGTTTATATTTAAAATACCTTCGCTTGGTCTGGAGGATTTGGGTACTTGTAGTTCGCATGAGGCTTGAGCCAAAACTCTATATTATACATTATAAATGATAAGTTATAATTGATTAAAAATATGGATAATTACTTAGTTTTTCCCAAAGAGACCTGGCAACAGCCCCAGTCTTTGCCGAATTCGATTTGGACGTCGCGGAATTCCTGAAATGATCGGCCATCGAGCCTCTACAAAACACAAAAAAAGGGGGCTTTTTTATTTTTGACTAAAAAACTACTTACGTTCCATTCTTCAAGGTTTTTATTCAAGAATTTCCTTTCCGCATTGGAAATAAAAGTTTTCCTTAGGTTGGACATGCTTTTTTATTTTGAAAACTTGAATTTTTTTGAGGTTATGTTTATGTTTACAATGGCGGTGAGCGTAAGAGACGATAGATGGCGCCGTAAGAAAATATAGAAAATTGCATTACCGGCACATGAAAATTTTATAGATTTCTACTTTAGAGATGGTTTTTTTTTGAAACAAGTTTTAGAGCTAAAAGTGTTTCACTAGAGCTAAAACTCCGATTTCGGGACATTTTTAAAGTTAAAGTTGGTTAGAAAACTTGCTAAAATTCAACTAGAAAACCGTAAAAATCTTATTATAGGCTAGGGTGACCATACGTACAGCATTTCGCTGTATTGTACAGCATTTTCAAAGTCTGTCCAGCATTTAATTTTGTACAGCAAACGTACAGCGATTCGGATCCGATCATAATTAAGTTTTTCTTTAAAAAAAATTACGAAAAATTGTCCGTCAATAACTAACGACATTTCTACATTTGCGATTTACGTCATTTACGCCATCATTTATCATTTCCCAGAGTATTCTTTTTAATGCTAACTACCTTTTTTATCTCTCTCTATTTTACGCTGCTAAGAAGAAGACACAGCATAATAGGTCTGTTTCTGCAGTAATCACAAACCAGTCAGCACGAATTTCACAGAACAGATGACGTCATTAGAGGGGGGATTCTCATCCTCTAGTCGCAACTTATCTTCCCGACTTACTTGTAGAAAGGCAATGGGATAGTCGAGACGATAGGTTGCGACTAGAAGATGAGAATCCCCCATCAGGTAGATCTAATGGAGATTTACATTATTTTAGGCATCCAGATGACGTCATAAAAGTTATCAGCCAACTCTTTCAAACAACCTTGGTTTCAAACATTAAGGTTTTCAACCAATGAAATTTACTCTGACTGGTTTGTGATGTCTATTATGTTAAGTCTTTCTTTTTTTTTTTTGTTAAGTGGTACACGGGCTATAAAGTCGAAAAAATTTGCATCTAGTGCTTTCTCCACTCACCTGTCCCAAAACTTTAGATGTGTACAGCATTCATACGAAAAAAATATGGCTACCCTATTATAGGCTCTCCTACGAGTTGAAATTTCAATTTAAGAAGCGTAAAATTCAATGTCCATAGCTCCTAAACTTAAGATTGCTTTTAGAGCGGTTTAACGAGTTCTTTTACAACAATCTTTGGAGCTAAAGTTTTACTAGAGATCAGAGAAGCATAATTATGAAAAAAAACTCCGATTTCTGGACATTTTTAGGGTTAAAATTGATTTAAAAGTCTTATAACAGGCTCTCCTATAGAGCAAAACTTTGATTTAGGAAGCATGAAAATTGATTTTCATAAACTTGAAATTGAACAAGAGAAGTGTTCAAATTTCGATTTATAATGGCCATTTTGACACTGTCTATGTTTAGAAAGTTCTATTTTCGCATCTTTTAAGAGCTGAAATTGCACTTAACAAACTTAATATTTTGAGGATTCTAAAGTTAAATTTGAGCTTTAGAGCGATTTAACAAGGTCTTTTTTAACAATATATATCTAGAGAAGCAGGGTTGGACGAACTTTCGGAAGTGGGCCGGGAAATTTTAGTCCAGCGGCCCATACAATCATTAATTCATAGGCCACATCACATCATCACCCCTAGATGTGATCTAAAAAGATTTAGGCTCAATAGATACTTTAAGCAAATTCTAAATTTTTCCACGTATCCGTATCCGAATCCGTAAACGCATCGACTTACGTTGACCGCCTAAAAGTCCTTTTAAGCATGGCCATACATTACGTAAACGATCGTATCCTTAGATGAAACGTTTTCTATCCTCAAAAAGTACTGGTTTATGTTGTTAAAGTTATTTAACTGATAACTAAAACCCATTTTACAATGGACCGTAAAGACGTAACATAAGTCCTAAGCATGCGCACATTAGATTTATTTGCGTCAAATATATTACTGAAAACGCAACGTAAGAGAAGATGAGAATAATTCAAATTTTGATTATTCTTGGCTTTTGATTGGATCTGAAATTCAAATTTTGAATATTTCCGGCTCATGATTGGTTTAGAAATTGAATTTTTGATTATTCCCGGCTCTGGATTGATTTCCAAAGTCAGTTTTTTAATTTTTCCGGCTCTTGATTGGATTTAAAATTCAAATTTTGATTATTCCTGGCCCTTGATTAGCTCTGGAATTCAAATTTTGAATATTCCCAACTCATGATTGGTTTAGAAATTGAATTTTTAATCCTTCCTCTTGATTGGTTTCAAATTTTAAATATCCCCGGCCCTTGATTGGCTTAAAAATTCAAATTTTAAATATTCCCAGCTCTCGATTGGTTTTCAAAAACAATTTTCGAATTTTCCCCACTTTCGATTGGGTTTAAAATTCAAATTTTGATTACTCTTGGCTCTTGATTGGCTCTGAAATTCAAATTTTCAATATTCCTTGCTCATGATTGGTTTAGAAATTGAATTTTTGATTATTACCGACTTTTGGTTGGCTTAAAAATTCAAATTTTGATTATTCCCGGCTCTTGTGATTGACTCCGAAATTCAATTTTTGAATTTTCCCGGCTCCTGATTGGGTTTAAAATTCACATTCTGAATATTTCTGGCTCTTGATTGGCTCTGAAATTCATATTTTAAATATTCCCGACTCATGAAACCAATCATGAGAAACTAAATTTTTGATTATTCCCGGCTTTTGATTGGCTTCAAATTTTGAATATTCCCGGCTCTTGATTGGCCTAAAAATTCAAATTTTGAATATTTCTGGCTCTTGATTGACTTTCCAAAATAATTTTTTGAATTTTCTCGGCTCTTGATTGGCTTCATATTTTGAACATTCTCGGCTCTTGATTGGCTTAGAAATTCAAATCTTAAATATTCCCAGTTCTTGATTGGCTTCCAAAGTCAATTTTGAATTTTCCTGGCTCTTGATTGGGTTTAAAATTTAAATTTTAATTATTCTCGGCTCTTGATCGGGTTTAAAATTTGAATTTCTTACGGCTATTGCCACCGCTATAACTTAAGGGATATTTAATACAAGTGGAGCTTTGAATGTGATTCTTGTAGAAACAAAAGTCACATTCAAAGCTCTACTTAGATTAAATATCCCTTAAGTGATAGTCGTGCAAATAGCCCTTAGCCAATCAAGAGCTGGGAATATTCACAATTTGAATTTCTAATCCAATCAAGAGTCGGGATTATTCAAAATTTGAAGCCAATCAAAAGCCGGGAATAATCAAAAATTCAATTTTTAAACTAATCATGAGCCGGGAAAATTCAAAATTTGGATTTCAGAACCAATCAAGAGCCAGGAATATTCGAAATTTGAATTTCTAAGCCAATCAAGAATCGGGAAAATTCAAAAATTAATTTTGGAAGTTAATCAATAGCCGGGAATATTCAAAATTTGAATTTCAGAGCCAAACAAGAGCCAGGAATAATCAAAATTTGAATTTTAAACCCAATCAAGAACCGAGAAAATTCAAAAATTGACTTTGGAAGCGAATCAAGAGCCGGGAATATTTGAAATTTCAATTTCCAAACTATTCAAGAGTCGGGAATATTCAAAATTTGAAGCCAATCAAGAGCCGGGAAAAATCAAAAATTCAGTTTCTAAACTAATCATGAGCTGGGAATGTTCGAAATTTGAATTTTAAATCTAATCAAGAGCCAGGAAAATTCAAAAATTGACTTTGGAAGCGAATCAAGAGCCCGGAATATTTGCAATTTGAATTTCTAAACCAATCAAGAGCCGGGAATATTCGAAATTTGAAGCCAATCAAGAGCCGGGAAAAATCAAAAATTCATTTTCTAAACCAATCATGAGCCGGGAATGTTTAAAATTTGAATTTTAAACCCAATCAAGAGCCGGGAACATTCAAAAATTAACTTTGGAAGCCAATCAAGAGCTGGGAATATTCAAAATTTGAATTTCTAAGCCAACCAAGACCCAGGAATGATTAAAAATTGAATTTCTAAACCATTCAAAAGCCGGGAATAATCAAAAATTCAATTTTTAAACTAATCATGAGCCGGGAAAATTCAAAATTTGTATTTCAGAACCAATCAAGAGCCAGGAATATTCGAAATTTGAATTTCTAAGCCAATCAAGAGTCGGGAAAATTCAAAAATTAATTTTGGAAGTTAATCAATAGCCGGGAATATTCAAAATTTGAATTTCAGAGCCAAACAAGAGCCAGGAATAATCAAAATTTGAATTTTAAACCCAATCAAGAACCGAGAAAATTCAAAAATTGACTTTGGAAGCGAATCAAGAGCCGGGAATATTTGAAATTTCAATTTCCAAACTATTCAAGAGTCGGGAATATTCAAAATTTGAAGCCAATCAAGAGCCGGGAAAAATCAAAAATTCAGTTTCTAAACCAATCATGAGCTGGGAATGTTCGAAATTTGAATTTTAAATCTAATCAAGAGCCAGGAAAATTCAAAAATTGACTTTGGAAGCGAATCAAGAGCCCGGAATATTTGCAATTTGAATTTCTAAACCAATCAAGAGCCGGGAATATTCGAAATTTGAAGCCAATCAAGAGCCGGGAAAAATCAAAAATTCATTTTCTAAACCAATCATGAGCCGGGAATGTTTAAAATTTGAATTTTAAACCCAATCAAGAGCCGGGAACATTCAAAAATTAACTTTGGAAGCCAATCAAGAGCTGGGAATATTCAAAATTTGAATTTCTAAGCCAACCAAGACCCAGGAATGATTAAAAATTGAATTTCTAAACCATTCAAAAGCCGGGAATAATCAAAAATTCAATTTTTAAACTAATCATGAGCCGGGAAAATTCAAAATTTGTATTTCAGAACCAATCAAGAGCCAGGAATATTCGAAATTTGAATTTCTAAGCCAATCAAGAGTCGGGAAAATTCAAAAATTAATTTTGGAAGTTAATCAATAGCCGGGAATATTCAAAATTTGAATTTCAGAGCCAAACAAGAGCCAGGAATAATCAAAATTTGAATTTTAAACCCAATCAAGAACCGAGAAAATTCAAAAATTGACTTTGGAAGCGAATCAAGAGCC